AATGCCACAAACAATGTAATGTATGCTTCATTGGGATTGTCAATCACACAAACAAAAATTTACCCTTTGCCGCCTTTCCTATGTCGAACTCTGGCATGTATCAACACGTTTCACTTCTACTAAGGTCTTCAACTATTTAATAATCTCGTCCAAAGACTATAGCTTAGTAACCAGGTAGCCCTCAGTTTTAAAACCATGTTATGGCATTTTGCTCATTCATGATTGATTATACAAATATACCCACAGCATTAGATGATCCAAGTTTCTTGTGTGATTCACTATGAGCAATATACAGTAGTTTTTAATGGTGGTTTGCGTAAAATTTGCTAATTTCTGCCGCTTTTTTTCCTACTAGTCTTCCCGGACAATTAACATTTGTATGTTGATCGGAAGAAAACCTGAAATGACGAAGGAACCAACACGGAAAGAGACCAACGTTATGTCTTATATCTTCTAGTATATGATTGTAATTTAGGTACATGATAGTCAATAGAATAGTGTAATAGAATGGACGAAATCGGTGTCCTTTTTGTGCACGATATAAATGATTCGTTTCGATGCATTAACTAACCAAAAGTTTAGTTAAGCAAAATTCTTACCTTCACAATACGATACGGTCAACGTTGACAATCCACTTCCTGCACAGTCAGACATTTGAAATACATGAAATCCCAAAGTTCAGGATATGAATAGGTGCACTTTGTTCTAATCGACTCTGTAAGAGGTCCACTTATGAGAGACTTTGTTTAACCCCTTATGGCATTGGATTATACCATCTTGCTACAGGTTACCCACCAAGTTTTAGGGTAACGTCCACAATCTCGATCAGATCAGAAGGAAAGTCCGCGACCTGCGTCACGCATACAGAAATGCGCGGGAAAACAACAGCCGCCGGCATGGGTCGACGAACTTGACGAGTTGGACGTGTTCCTCGGGGACTTCCGGGTGGTGTGTATAGAAACGTCCCGACAGCGGGAAATATCGCCGCTGTCGCGAAAATCTGTGTGTAAAGTGGGCCAAACATACAGTCCTGTCTCTGGGGCCCATGGAGGACCAGCTATTTCCCTATTAGATCAAGCATATATTAAGCATATAATTAGTGTAACTCTATACAGGTACAGTACCGGTGTTGAGGGAGTAGGTATTTGGACCTGTACCTAATCAATTTTCCGGTACAGTATCGGTACTGCGTACCGGTACATCCCTAACCACAACCGACCACAACTGGGTCTAATGTACATGTACATAGGGCAATGACCTTGTGTAACGTTCGGACTACATTTTCTAACAATTGTGAATAGAAAGCATGCAGTAAGTCTTTAGCAGTTTTTTTTTCATGTTATTCCACTTGTTTTAACATTCGAACGGACTCTGACCGCCATTTTGCCGGGTAATTTAATTTCATACATCAAGAGCAAGTTTTTGTCAATTTGTTTGTGTGTATCGATGTCTTTTGAATCACACTTCCAACCGTAAAACCAAGGATCACACAAACCCAATTTCTGTCGCTCAACGATCGCCCAAGGATTGTCGTCTAGTGCACGTGAAAAGGGGCCCTAAGTAGATATCGTACAGTCCTCCCACGTTATGTATTACGGTAATTAGCCACACAAGTTGGAGCGCGAAACCTTCTCTCCGTGGCTCCCTCGGCAGCAAATCGTCCCTCGCGGCCGCATATTACTCGCGTCGCTCAGAGAAAAAATAACGCCGACGCCCAACAAGACTGCGAAGGAGGCTAATGTAATCAACACACCTACCTAGATTACCCAGTGAACTACACTATTGTCTAGATTAGTCTGTATGTGGGAGTTTCACAGAATTTCTGGAAAAGAAAAGGGTTTCGAAGAAAAATTACATAACCATTCTACGTATACTTTCCTACACACGTGCATGTTCATGTTTATATACATATATACTGTGTGTCAGACATTGAAATGAATGAACAACGTAGTAAAGAGTAGCCTAGTAACCGAATAGCTTAGTAACCATTCTCCACAGGCCGGCTTAGGGGTTTTGCCAGCCCCATGAGCAAAGGGACTTTCTAGTTCTGACAGCCTATATTGACAGCCGGTCTTTCTGATTACTGCTGACCTGTAGATTGAAACTGACCCCGTAAAAAACTCCCGTGCGGGCCAATGGGCCTGGGCGGGGGGGTACCACTCCCAGCACCGAAGAGACACCGGGGAGCCCCCAATGGGTTGGGTACCAGCCTAACAATCGACCGTCGTCATTGCCGACAGTACATGATTGCTATGCATCAGCCAAGTACGTACTTGAACTTGAAGAATACGTATAACGTAACAGCTGATTACTTGCATTCATTCAGACGCTTTTGCCTCAGACAGAAGGCGTTGGATTCCTTTGAGTTTGTCTGGTAACAGGTTGCAGGTTGGAGGAGCATTCTTTACGAACTGAAAGGTTTGAATCACTCACATCGGAGAGGACCCCTACTCTTTACTCGATAAGTGTGGTGGGTACTTTAACGTGCTTGAGGTGTGGCTCTCCTCCGTGTGGATGTTCCTAGCCGAAGCTGGGTACTCATTTTCACTTGCGTCGAGTGAGGAAATACATGTAGGTGTTAAGTGTCTTTCCCAGTGACACAACAGTGAGATTCGAACCTTCTGATTCTAAGTCAACAATCCTAGCCACAAGTCCATTACCATATTTCCAGCTGACTATTTCCTCATTGTAAGCTCCAATATGGCATTAGCTCCTGGACTGCTTTTGCTTGTAGCTGTCGGCTCTTTGTTGACACTATGCATGTGTGCACCGACCAAATGTCGGGTATCGGTGACAAGGGGTGAGCTATATGCTGACTGTAACAGTCTGAATCTCATAATGTTTCCTGACGATGTACCGAGAGACGTTGACAAGCTCAAAATTGGTTTCAACAGCATCGCAAACGTGTCGTACCTGCCGTCACTGCCGCGCCTGTCCACACTGGATCTCAGAATGAACCGCATTGAGACTTTCTCCTGGACGTCTCTACGTGCTGTACCAAAGTTGAGACGCCTTCATCTGCAAACTAACAGACTTCGGGTCGTGGAACTCGACACCGTCATTGAGCATCTTCCGAAGCTGGAGTATGTAGATCTGACTTACAACAAACTTTTGTCCTTCTCCCAGTACCAGCTGGGATGGCCACGAATGAACAGCGGTATGAAAGTTTTACTCTACGGGAACCCGCTTTTCTGCAGCTGTACCCTGCACTGGCTGGTGGACAAGATGGTGTGTTTAAACCGACAGGCTTGTAAAGGAAAAGGTCCGGCATGTTGCTCTTCGTGCAAAGCCTGCTTTTTAACTGAAAACCTAAATAAGTTGGCTTTATGCTACAGTCCCCGTGGATTGCCCATGGGTTCTTTATTCAACGAGTCGACTCTGGCGTTGATCAACTTGATGGACTGTGAACCAAGCCAGTCTACTGCTAGTACCGTCAGTTCAGCAGCAACCTCGACAACAATTGCAACAAGCGAGCCACACAGCACTTTTCTCACCAACGGTGTAGAAAATAATACCACACAAAACAACTTTAAAAAGACCGCCAACTCCACAATGGTGGGAACAAATACTTCTCGCTCTGACTCAAACACCGGAAAGGTAGGGAAGGGGCAACCACTACGAATTCTTTACATCGTCGCGTACGTGGCTGAAAGTCTGCTGGTCATGGGTTTCATCTTCTGCTGTGTCCGGCTTCACAGGAAGCACAGGCTGTGCTGCAAAAGTCGTAAAGATGTCAATCACCACCTACATCAGCCCACCCCACCAGGAGCAAACTCTGGCTGCCATGGCAACGCAGATGGAGCTGTCAATCACGGCGAGCCACCAGCCAATCAAATCACACCACCAATCTCGAACTCGGCCACGTTTCCTGCATGCCAAAGTACCGAAGCAGAGGGTTTGAATGGCGAGCGGCTAGCCACGCAGGGTTATGCAGAGGCTGCAGACAGCAACAGTGCCGACCCAGATGAACAGATTGCCCCGTACGCCATCGCGTATGACGTCGAGGAGGAAGACGTCACGCCTTACGCCGAGGGACACCTTCGCGATCACGACAGTTTGAGCGAGTCTGACGCTTCTGACTCTCCAGACGTTATCGTTTCTGATGACGATGATTTTGATGAGAACGTTGTCTCTGAAGGGGTAACCAAGTTCTATTACAGTGGCGACAACAGTGAAATCCGCGAAGGTTCCTCGATTGCATATGTAAAGAAGTCCTGTAAGAAGAGGTACGTCCGTGGTGACCCTAGTGACAACCATGAAGACTCCTCTAGTGCGTATGCAACCCAGTCCCGTAAAAGGAGGTACGTCAGAGGTGACCCTAAAGAAATCAGTGAGGGTTCCTCTAATTTTTATGGTGCAACCAAGCCCTGTAAAAGATATCTCTGTGGTGACCCTAAAGAAATCCACAAAGGCTCCTCTGGTATGTATGATAAAACCAAGTCCCGTAAGAGGTATGTGAGAGGTGACCCTAAAGAAATCCGCGAAGAGTCCTCCAGTGCATATAATACAACCAAATCCTGTAAGAGGTATCTCAGAGGTAACCCTAAAGAAATCCGTGAGGGTTCCTCTAATTTTTATGGTGCAACCAAGCCCTGTAAAAGATATCTCAGTGGTGATCCTAAAGAAATCCGCAAAGGCTCCTCTAGTATGTATGATAAAACCAAGTCCCGTAAGAGGTATGTGAGAGGTGACCCTAAAGAAATCCGCGAAGAGTCCTCCAGTGCATATAGTACAACCAAATTCTGTAAGAGGTATGTCAGAGGTAACCCTAAAGAAATCCGTAAGGGTTCCTCTAATGTTTATGATGCAACAAAGGCCTGTAGAAGATACCTTCGTGGTGACCCTAAGGAAATCCGTAAAGGTAGGTCTGGTATGTATGAAAGCGGGCCCGTATCTCCTGCAGATGTCTCTGGTGTGCATGTCCCCATGTCCCGTGACGAGACAGTCAGTGGTGACCGCGGAGAACAAAGTCGTGAAGAGTCCGCAAAGGTTCCTCAAATGTTTATGATGCAACAAAGCCCTGTAGAAGATACCTTAGCGCATGACAACAGCACACCTGCGTTTGGTGAAGGCTCCGTTTCGAAAATGTACGGGGAAAACGATTCTAAAGAAACCACCCCAGACTGTCCCTAGAAAGTCATCTTACCAATTAATCTTACCATGTTGCACAAAGAACACTTATTATGCAGAAGGAGTAGTATTTTTCTGAAGATGTGACATTGAGATTGATCTGTTTCTTTGACGAATTCATATGGCTGTGTTACAGTACATTTACAATGTTAAACTTTATTAACATAAAGAGTACATGTATTTGCATGCACGTTATTCTGGTACCAATTATTAATATCTTCAGATCAATATAGTAATTGATAGTACAAGTCAAGTGCACTCTATGAATTGCCATGATTCTTTAATATTTTTAGCAACGTAAACTTAGCCCATTGGTGTTACAATAAAGGTCATATAATACATTCATTCATTCACTCAGTTACATGTTACTTTCTACATCTTACCAATAACTCCACATTTATATCTGGCTCTAGATATACCAGACAAATATACGTGGGCCGTAAAACAAAGATATCTTTTTTTTCTTCTGACAAAAAGCGCCCAATCTAACTTTGATTGTAAAAAAAAGTGTCAAAAGCTAGGTTTTGAAATTGGTTTCCAGATTACACTACGTGCGGGGTTACATGGCGTCTTTTTGTGAACAGCGTGGTAGACGGAGAGTTAATACATGCAGGCATCCGCATCTTCTTTGGTGACTAAAGAAAACTACATGTACACTTGAATGACAGTCTCTACCACATATTGCAACGGGGGACATAACGTCGATGTTATGTAAGAATCCAGACTCCGTACACGTACATGTCGGGGTTTACTACGTTATACGTCTAGACATATTTGATTGATTTTTATATTCATGGATGTTTTCGACTGCATATTTAGATAACTGACAGGTAGGTGTCTTCCACTGATATGCATCTAGAACATTTTTCTACTACCTTGAACTACATACTCGTAGGGTTTATAGTCGAGTTCTGGTTCTAGAAACATTAAACAAGGCAGAGACGGCAGATTTCACCCATTAATAGCTATATACTGCAACCCGTTCCGTCCTATATGGCACAACTCTACCAGATATGCTAAGAAACTAAAAAAACACCATTACCATTTGCCTTTAATCAATGAAATTTCTTAGATTTTCCCTCGATACATTACACATTATACTGGCAATATATGTTATTAAACAATGCTACAATTCGAGGCAATAATTATAGTAAGTCTTTATTCACCCAAACAAGAACACTGAACACTGTCACGCCTCTAGATCTAAATTTAACGTAACGCTGATATCTCGAGCGTACACAATAGTCATGTCAACAGCCAACAAACGATACAACTCTGACAGACATATAAAAGAAACTAAATCCTCCACGACACTGTCTGAGGTTACAGAAACCCTTCAAGAACAGCCAAGACATCTAAGCCTCGTTCCCATGGAATGATCTTAGCCTTGAGCTTGTTCCCAGGGCTCCGTTCCGTCTCTTCTATCTTCTCCATGAGTTTGTACCCCTTTCTGGGCATCACTACATCGGACGGCCCCAGTCCTTTACAGGGGCAAAAATCATTGACGCCATCACCGACAAACACAACTTTCGTGTACGTCACACCTTTTTGAGCCTGTTCTTTGATGTATTCAGGCAGCAGAGTGCCCTTGCATATGTCTACAGAACAACTACAGAGTCGGTTATGATAGGACTTAACATGCATTCTCCCTTTGTCATCAATATGACCGTAGTTAGTGTAGATCTTGCCAATGACCTCCCGGTCCACCCCGTCTGCTTTAAAGGCAGCTTCCAGAAAAAGTTCGTTAGTTCCTGACATCACAACACAGTCAAAGACGTCGCTGTTCTTTCCGATGAACTGCAAGACGTCTTTCATTCCGTCCGTGTAAGGAGCTTTCGTCATGACGTCAAGGATGTCTTGAGAAGACACGCCGCTGTCGTGAAGAAGCTTCAGGAGGTCCTGAACTGCTTCCATGAAGAACCCCTGACGATATCTGTCCCAGAGTTCTCTGGGCGGCTCCCCGCCTGGGCAAAGTGCCGCCACCCAGTCATCGCTGTTACAGTCTATGATGGTCCGGTCAAAGTCAAACACGGCCAGAACTTTCTTCTTGTCAGTCGCCATCTGGGAGGACAACGGCATTGGTTATTTGGTCGATTTTGTTGATATAGAACAAGATTGTTTTTGTCATGAAATAGATCATACAATTCATTTTTCAGACTGCCTTCACTATATACTAGATATTAGATGACTCTGCAGGGAGGCGATCATATGAGCGAACTAAAATCGGATGTCTATTGTTATAACGTTGTAAATGATACTCCTGGGCCACATTGCGGTCTCTGTCATCACTAGATCGGCTTCAATCTATCAAGCGTAAATGGCCTTCAGTTGAATTTTCCCCAATCCCAGTCTAATTCTAAAATTAGTAACGTTACAACTTATATATATATAAATCTACAGTGACGACAGTGTATACTTCGTATGAAGATTAGGAGTACAGTTTAACCAGTCTGACGCAATAGCCCGAGACGTTTTAAACCGGTCAACAACCTTAGCTTACACAGTTGTTGTTGAGTACCAAACCTGGGAGGTGATCCTCTTCTTTTCCTTGTTTCAACTCATAAACCACACAAATTAGCGACAATCCAAAACCGGTTCGCGCGGTTATGCCGCCATCTTTGATTGACCCAGGTTAAAGTTGAAACCGGGTCAACAACCTGAATACAATGTGAGGCATGTACTGTATGTGTGTCGGTCTATATAGGTGTGTATAACGTTACATTACGTCATCTGCTATTCACTGACAGAGTGACAATTTTGTTGTTCAATCATAGGAAACTAAAATTTTCAAAGAGATCTTTAAAACAAGTGAAGTAGCAGAATTTTGAGTTTACAAAAAAAGGATGTTAAGTCTTTCCAAGGTAGTGAAAGAGACATCAATAGTACTCAGCATGTGTATAGTGAGTGGCATTTTATTGACATTATAACATATATAATTTGAATACTGAGCACCCATTATCCATATTGTAACTTTTACCTATACAAATGTTTAAAAAAATGTAAAGCAACATATAATCTGTAGGTTAAGTGTCTTCTTAAAACACTCAAAAAGTCAAATCTAACTCAATGGATTGAAAAAGATAATACTGAACTGGAAGGTACATATAGTTAACACATTTGTAATACAGCACAAATTATCGGTAATACAATGTACATTTGTACTAGAACATCTAGAAGACAAAAACTACACGCAAAAGTCATATATGTACCCAATATCAATGTACCCAAAAATTCAATTAGCACCAGTAATGTAGAATATTATCTATACACACTCTTTTAGAACAGCTAACACTTCTGATCCACTTTCCCAAGACACAACTTTGGCTCTGAGCGAGCTTTTTGACAACTTCTCTATCTTCTTCATCAGCCTGTACCCCCTCCTGGGCATGACTATATCCGACCCTGACAGCTCCTTACATGGACAAAGATCATTCCCTCCATCCCCTACATACACAACCTTATCATACACAACACCGTCCTGAGCTTGAGTTCCTATGTACTCTAACAGTATCGTCTTTTTACACATGTTCACTGGGCAAGACTTGCAGGCATGCTTGTGGAACGGCTTGACGTGCAGGCAGTTTGACTTGTCAAAGTGAGCCGGGTTGGTGAACGTGTTATTCACGGCATGCTTCACTCCGCCAGCCTTCAGGATGGTCTCTATAAACACCGTGTTTGAGTCCGAGATCACGATACAGTCAAACTTGGCGCTGTTACTTCCGATGTACTTCAAGACGTTTTGCATCTTAGCAGTGTAAGGAATTTTGCCCATGACGTCGAGGATTTCGTCGGACATTGTTCCATTGTCGTGCAGATATTTGAAGACGTTTTCCATGTACTCGGTCCAGTGCCCGTTGCGGTACGTCTGCCGTAGCCAATCAGGGGCCTGTCCTCCTGGCGCGAGCTTGAGGACCCAGGTGTCGCTGTTGTCGTCTATGATGGTGTGATCAAAGTCAAACACTGCCAGGACCTTTTTCTTCTCCTGGGCCATCCTCTGTTACTGTACTGTGATAGGATACAGTATAACACAAATGGTCCAAATTATTACAAATTCATCTTGTGAAACTTTATTGCACAACAACTGTAACAGGTACAATGTATGGCAAGTTGAGCAATATTAAATACCAAGACTGATACCAACGACTTTGCTAATAACATTGCTAAGGAGTACTATATAGCTCAGACTAAACACTATCGTCACTACGCTTTTCTATTGTTATGGGTATTTTGGCATAAACATGGTTCAGCAGCTAGCAGCACAGTGCAGAGTAGACTAGTTAATCCTGTTAGTAAGACGTTTCTCGCTGCTACCTACGCTAGGTTTTATACCATACTTACTTTTGGCCACTATTGGTAAATTTGTGTCCTAAATCACCTGTTTCTGTGGAAAAATCAAAGAAAAACACACTTAGCACCAGAATCGGCAGCCATTTTTGTGTCAAAGGTCAAATGACGGGAGATACTTTTTCACATTGGGCTAAGGGTAGGGGTCGAAAACGAGGCGGAGGTCACTGGAGGTCACCGGAAGGGCCGTAGCACGCGTGAAGATGAACAGCCACGCTGCTATTGGTCAGGACACTGGACTGCTACTCATATGCTGCAGCAATACCTCAGTTTCGGTAGTGTGGGGAGGGCTACCTGCGTCTTTCCCTCGATGTACGTGCAAAAACGTCAACTTTTACGTCTATATTCACTGCATTAGTGTGGCTCTTACCTCTGGGGACAAGGAAAAGCACAGTTCAGATCATATTTGAGGGGATTTAAGCTCTGGGAACCAGGTAACACTCCATATAACGTTACATGTAGGTAATGGGGACCAAATTGGTTATCAACGTTATATTTGTGTGGCTCTTACATCTCGGCTCTTTTTTTTAGCTCTGGGACTAGGTAAGGCAGCTAATACAGGAAACATTTGCACCGTACAAGTAATAATTGCAGGGCTGTCAGGTCTGGGGACCAGGTGAGGCACCTTACAGGTGACTGACGTGTATTTCCTTTGACTTGGGTTGACAATAGACCAGGTGAGGCACCTTACAGGTGACTGACGTGTATTTCCTTTGACTTGGGTTGACTATAGACCAGGTGAGGCACCTTACAGGTGACTGACGTGTATTTCCTTTGACTTGGGTCGACAATAGACCAGGTGAGGCACCGTACAGGTGACTGACGTGTATTTCCTTTGACTTGGGTTGACAATAGACCAGGTGAGGCACCGTACAGGTGACTGA